TTGCCCACCCAGATGCTTTTTCTCTTCCCTTAGGTTCAAGTAGCCAGGCTTAGCTGGTTTTATGGAGCAGGCTGTTAGATCTATATAGCAGCCTTTTATTTAGTCTGGTTTCAGATCTCATTTGTGAGATTTCCTTCCTTAAGCTCAGGATATTAAAAGTAAAAGAGAGAATGTCATGCTACTTTTCACTTCTAAAAGTAAACATGACATCTTATGTAGGCTCTTTCCCACCACCCACCCAAAACAAAGCATGGCATAGACAGTTGACACAGCAGTTTGGCTTTTGCTAACCAACAGCAGAGGTCCACCCCCACTTCCTAAATGTGTGGCCAACTGCCAATATAGTCAATGAATTCCTCTGTATTCTTGTCAAGAGATTGAGAAGCCAGCATGCTTCCACCACAGTTAAGCTTAACAGCTGCTTTGCATTTTTGAAAGGCTGAAATGCTTGTGTCCTCTTGGAGCAGATCTAGTAAATGTATAGTACTGTTGCATAGTACTCAAGCCCATTCTTGTTGATTATTGTATCATGTAGATTGTGGTTTGCCATGTAAGTGTCATCTGTTTCTGATCCCTGCCCACTTTTTCTCAAAATACATACCTTACGCGTATTGAGATCTATAGCCCATCTTCTTACTGAGAAGTAGCACACGTTGAGACTCACAAATACAATAAAATCAACACATCTGTAATAATCTGGAACTGAGTTACCATGATCAATAACAAAAAATAATAACCTAGTATCAATCATTTTGGAAAGGCTATATTAAAGTACTCCCGTGCCTTTTGACAATAAGGATGAATATGCACTAGTAGAAGTCCCCATTGGAAAACATTACAAGCAAATGCTGTTGGAGATAAGACCCTACTGTGGGCTGCAAGGGTATACTTGTATGACTGGAATACATAGAATGTTGTCTGTGAAAGATTACAAAATGCTGGTGTTTGTATTTAACATAGGGGTTTGTAAACTGGCCAAGCAGTTTAGTTTATGACATGCATCATTTATTACATAATCCATACTTTTAATCATAGCCTCCCATCCTCAGATATTCATATTCACAGGGTTGTTCTGAAGAGGTTAGTCCATATTTGCTTTTATAATGAATGTGATTGTAAAAGGCTTTTGACTACTTATAGTTTAATTATATTTTGACTTTTGTATGTTGTACCGTGGACTCTTAGAATCTGCTAATTCCAAGACCCCAAACGGATACTGAAATGATCCAGGTTCCACTATTTAAATGCATTGTAAAATTGCGCCCTTCAAATAAGATAGCAAAATCAAGTGGGTTTTTTAAATTAAAAATATTTTCAAGCTGTGGACAGTGAATCTATGGATCAGAATTTTTGTATATGGAAAGCTGACTGTAGTATGTTTTATCTCTGTTTAAATTGTTGTAATCCTTAAATTTCAGAGCCAAGAAAAAGGTGATATGATTATGATGGTTGTTACTAAGAACAATAATATTTGGGAATGCATAATTTGTTTTTATATTTTATATTAGTCTTTATATTCTCATGGGAATCTTTCCTAATGGGCTCATTTTACAATTTAATCACAAGATGTTCTGTTGTGTCACATTTCTCTGCAGCTTGTTGATTATAAAAGTGTTCCAAGTCAGTTTTCTACAGATGTAAATTGGGGTATCTTTCCAACTCTGACCAAGAGGAGGGCCTCCCCGGCAGATTTTAATGCTCGTACAGGTTAATAGAGGGGGATGCGGTCACAAAGATCAGCGTGTTCCAAAGTGTTTAGGGCTTTATACGTAATTACCTGTGCTTTGAATTGAGACCGGAAACTTATCATTAGCCAATGGAGCTGCTTCAATAGGGGCATTGTGTGCTCCCTATAGCCAACTCCACTTAGTAGCCTGGCTGCTGATCTTTGTACCAATTGCAGTTTCCAAGCCGCCATGTAGAGTGCATTGCAGTAATCCAATCTTGATGTCACTAAGGCATGGACCACTGTGACTAAATCCAGCTTTTCGAGATATGGTCACAGCTGGTGCACAAGCCTTAACTGTGCAAAGGTCCTCCTGGCCACCATTGACACATGAGCTTCAAGCATCAGCGCTGAGTCCAGGAGGACCCCTAGACTGCAGACCTGTGTCCCCATCCATTACAGGTAGCCAACCTATACCCTGATTGGCCACACAACTGACCAGGAGGACTCCTGTCTTGTCTGGATTAAGCTTCAGCTTGTTAGCTCTCATCCATTGAATTACAGCTGCCAGTCACTGGTCCAGGATCCGGGGGGCTTCCTTGGAGTTTGGTGGAAAAGAGTAGTAGAGTTGTGTGTCATCTGCATTTTACTTCCTATATGTGTTTGTTCTAAGGTGGTGGTTCCCAGCATTTGGTTCTCCAGATGCTTTGGACTTCAACTCCCAAAATTCCTGACTGTTCTAAGGCAAAAGTGGGAATCATGCAGTCCTCCAGGTATTAGAATTAGAACAGCATTTCTCAAACTATGCTCCTCCAGGTTTTTGGACTTCAGCTCCCAGAAAGCTCAGCCAGTTTACCAGCATTTAGGAATTGTGGTAGTTGAAGTCCAAAATGTCTGGAGGAGCGCAGTTTGAGGAACTCTGATTTAGTGAATTGGAGGGCTGAAATAACCATTCTAATCCACTCTGCTTCCAATGGAGGAATCTAGTGCTTATACACCCCTACAAGGTGGCCATATAAGCTTTGTTGTTGGTCTTCAGGTCCCAGCAGGCCAAGCAAACAACCTATGGTGAGGAATGGTGGAAGTTGTAATTCAACATCTGCAGGACACTATGAACCCCACCCCTATCCTAAAGGAAGAGCACAGAAATCTAATGAAGTGTTTATTATCCAGGGGGAGGTGGAAACATGGAGGATATTTGACTGTTGCTTTAGTAGCAGTGTACTTGCAATGTTGAAGCTTTTTTGAAATCCTACTCTTGCTCCAGATGTTTCACCCTGAATTGCAGAGAGTTTTCATTCTCTTGTAAGAACAATTTCAATTTTATCTTAATGGGGTCTGTGGAGTGGCAGAAAACTAGTCTTCCATCCAGTGCAGGCTATTTCAAATAAAGCCATGTCAACAAAACTTTGGTTTGACTGCATCTTTCTGAAGTATAGTATGTAGATTAGATTTGCGTTTTGAGAGATATAATGTATGGCACTTTCCATGTTGTGTTGTAGTTCTATTGTTGGTTAATTTCCAAAATATCCTGTGGAAGTTCTTTTATCTGATGCCTGAAAAATATAGGGTGTTAAAACAATTAATACTTCCCTTTCTCGTAAAAACAATCATTTTTAGGATGCAATTCAGCTTGTTCAGATGCAATCAGTGGGTTGATTGTGTTCATTCAGCACTACTGCAGGGTGTATCCTGATTTTTTTCTTTTTAAGGAAGTGTTTCGGAGAGTGGAACTTAATCATTTAGCAAATGATGATGATTATGTATAACAATGCACGGAAGCACATTTTAAGTACATTTAAGCCCCAATGATTTAAGTAAGAGGTATTTATTTTGCCGTTAAAATTTCTATCCATGAAGCTCTATTCACCCAGTCACATTCCAGATTATTTGCTCTGGGTTGCATATGTGAAAGAGAGTAAGAAAGAGGAGGAAAGATTTAACTTGATGACTCCATCAGCTGCAGGAGGTGGAAAAACTTTGTGAATTCTATAAAAATATCAAAGTAGATGAAAATAGAATCCAGTATTTTTTTAAAAAAATCTTTATTTTTTTAAAGTAACGTTGTCTCTCCATGAGCCAGATGTCTAAAACCTCTGCCTAGAACATTTTGAAAAGTTCATTCTCTGTCCATGAATAACAATGTTATTCAGTCACAACCCCTTTTTGCTGAAAAGGGACTTAGTTTTAAAAGGCTCTGTTCCACTGACCCAGAAAGTGAACATCTGTTGATGTTAAGTTGTGCTGTGTAGGCTAGATTTTAAAATACCCTAACCCAAAAATAATCCACCCAAAAGGGAAAGGGGACAGAGAAGCAGAAAGATGCCTCTAAAAGAAGTACTATTAAGATTGCTTAGAATCAAATAATAGTGGCTACTTGCAGACCAAAACTTATATTCGCTTATTTGTTACAACACTCAACTCTGATTTCCTATTGTTGTATAGATGACATTTTGTTTTTTCTTTCCCAAGAAGCCTTAAGAGTTGTACATGTGTAGTAGTGTGCTACATGCCTTGTATACTCATGGATAAGCCTTAAAAAAATGGTCAAAAAGTCAGCCTCCAATACCTGGGTTCACTTATCCATGGGTCAGTGAAAGGACTGTAGTTTAACTCTTATCATAGTAGAGTGGTAAAAGCAAAAGCCAAGTCCATACCAGGATAATCTAAAATACCAAACACTGATCCTTTCTTTTCTCTCTGCCTTGGTGCAACTTCTAACCTTTTTTTTATGCCCGGGCAGCCCGGGTGTGAGAAAATTGGCTGTCTGCAAGGACGTTGCCCAGGGGATGGATGGATGTTTGATGTTTTATCATCCTTGTGGGATGTGGAAAGCTTCTCTCATGTCCCTCCATGGGGAGCTGAAGCTGACAAAGGAAGCTCAACTCACTCTCCCCTGATTCGAACCACTAACCTGTCAGTCAGCAGTCCTGCCAGCACAAGGGTTTAACTCACTGCACCACCAAGGGCTCCCTATCTAATACATGAGATTGACCTATACGTAAGTTATATTTTAAACAAAAGGTTTGCAATCTATATTATTATATTATATTGCATTGCTACAACAATTGGTTGAATGTTTGACAAGTGTCATTAAGCTATTTCTTAAAATATAGATTTAAAGCATGCTCCTTGCAAGGTCAGAAAAGCTCACATCTGACAAAAGATTGTATTCATTTTACTCCTTTGTGGTACTTCAACCATCAGTGAATGCATTCTGCTGATTTAGCTACAGATTAATAGCTTTTGATCTTTCACAAATTGATATAGGAAAAAAATACTTAGCATTTCAGCCTAGTTACTGATTTCTTACTTTGTTTAATTTCTTCTGCAGGAAACTTCCTAGACAGCAGACCCTTGAGGAGTTCTGGGAAAGTGAACATGGAACCCAGGAAAGAAGATGGTGGAAGTACAGCTACCCCTCCCCAGAAGATGTTGTGGTGTCACTGCCATCACTACTGTCCTGAAAACTCAAAAAACAACACCTGCAGGTTGGTGGAACAATGCTTCATAGAAGTTACATATTCTAATTCTTCAAGATCATTTAGCTTAAATGACTTTCAATGTGAGTCGCAGTGTCCCTTATTTTACACGAATGGTAAGAAGCTGAGGGCCTCCAGTTGTTGGGTTTTTGTTCCCCATTGGTGATTTAGGCCATACTATGTTCTAAACATAATTTGGTGTCACATGATTTAGTTTGTAATACTAAATAGTTTCAGAAAGTTAGAGAAGTGACTGGAATCATGGGGATTAAAGTTAATCTTTTCTTCTTATATCTGTGATCATTCCTCTTATAATAACCTTTCTTCTAATAACAACATAAAGAATTATTAAGACAATAATTCAATAATTCAAAGACATTCCTACTGCTGGAATGTCTTTGAAAACTCAGGGGAGTAGGAAGCAACCAAATATTCATCCAGTCATCAGAACATAGCTGGACAGTCCTCAGCTGCTTCCCTCCTGCTGACATAGTCATGTAATGGCTTGCCGGGGGGGGGGGGGGGGGGGGTAGCCATCAGTTGTCACCTACTTCTCTGCCCTGACTTAGTAGGCAGGGAAGGTCTCGTGTGATAGGTCTCTGTTATTGGGCATATGACTTTTAGAGTTCTTGCTGGCATCATGGCCAAACAACTTCCATGTTATAGGAAGTATTAATTTGAAATTATTGATGCTGTTCACATTAGCCTGGTACTTTGAGGGCTGAAAAAGATAGGAAGGCTGAATGGACTTAAGGAAGAGAATTTTCCTCTGTTACTCACTGGCTGACATAGGTCATATAATTATGATGGGGCAGAGAAGGGTTACACTTTTACATGTTTATTTGCTTGCTTTTATGCTACATAACATTTGTGAATTTATCTTCCATCCACTTTCTCTTGGAGATAATGTTTTTTCAGTCTACAGGCATCATGTATCCAGCTACAAGGATTGGCTTTGTACCCCTGGCTGGGGTTAGTCTAAGTGGAATTACTTTTTAGGGCTCCAGCTTTTCCATTGGCTGTGAGAGTATGGTGGACCCCATCTGCTTTTCTGTTCCCCACCAGGAGGACTTACCTTATAAAAGCCATGTGGGTGACCTCTAAACGAACACTTGGGGAGGTCTGGAATAACACACACTTTTGGCACATAATATGGGGGAACCCAATGTATTATCCAATAAGTGCAGAGAACATTATCCAAAGTTGTATATCTGTGTACATACATGTACATGCCCCTGAACCTTTAGGTAACAATACTTGCATTTGATTTATTGTTGCATACAATCATATAGTAGCCTTTAAAAGTATCAAAGGACCGTTTATAGATTTTGGTGCAACAAACTAACATGGTTGTTTCTTTGGAAAATTAGTACATGCTGCTGACTTCCACAGTGAAGGGAATCATTAAATAGATGTTTTATTCATGAGCTTGTACCCATTTGTCAGAGACACCTGAACAGTTATATTCAGATACATCATTTTTCTTGGCAATTTTTCCGATCTTATCATTTTAATATCTCAAAATTGGTTATAGTTGCTTCCAGATTTTTGTGCATTTGCCAGTTCTTATATAAGATAATGTAGTAATTTTAGCTATCCCCATTGTTCTTTTTTGAACTGAGTAAGGGGATTACTCTGACATGTGTAAATAGTAACAGTTAGCCAACTGCAAATATTTATTGGGCTGTATAATTTGCTTGGCTATTTTCCAACTGAAAATGACCAGTTAGTTGTTTTCCCTCCTCTCCCAAAATGGTTGCTTTGCAACTTGAATTTCAGAAGGACAAGACGATTTGTTTCATGTCTGCAAGTTCAGCTTAGTTTGAATCACGCAGACCTGAGTCGTTTCTTGGGGCCATGGTGTTGGGTTTCCTTTTAACCTACATCATCACAAAGGACATGTAAATACTGTCAGCCTATCTGAAGGAGGTGGTGGCTGAGTACACAGGTGTTTGGAGGACTGATTGATTAACAAGGACCTTTCTCCAGGAGAGGTGAACGCTTTTGAAGGGGTTCCCTAAACCTAGCCTTGTAAAGGTTATGTTGGCCCTCAGCCTTTTGAAACTTTAATCGCCTCTGAGAATGTGCTCTGCACCTGGGAAGCTCCAAACAGAGGTTTATTTGCTAGTCCTTTATGCACAGCTCTGTATAATAGAGCTTTGATGTTGCCAAGAGACATAATGAGTGCTTTTAAAAAACTATTGAAGTGTGCACAGGCAAAATCTGTGTATACACAGATTGTTGAGATTGTACACAAATAGTTTTTTCACATGTGACAATATATATGCATACCTTCTTTCTGTCAATTTTTTACCAATATAAAGTCTAACAATCTGTGTACATGAGGACACAAATTGGGTCTCTGTTGGACGTAACGTATGAACATTCCTTGAGTATTTTGGATGGAGACACTAGGGAGCAAATCTGGAACCTTATGTTTATAGAACTTCTCTTTCCATAAACTATTAAAAGTAAACTATTGTCTCTCCCAGTAATACTGTGGATCCAGAATTGAGAGATTTAGTTTTATCACATAAAGATTGGTACTGAAATCAGAAGACTACCAGAGACTGAGAAAATTGTAGTGATTTGGAGAGAGACATGCCTCCTTTCATTTTTAAATCAAAGGAAATGAGAAAAGATTATATTCTCAATGCATACATTTATCATAATTAGAAAATACTTCCATAACCCTCTCCCCTTCCAATTACATTTATTTTTCAGGCACTGATAGAAATAATATGTTCAGCTGTTCAATCTCTGTCTCTGTGTTTGTTTATCAAAAGCCACATAAAGGCAACTGCTTTTTTCAAAGAAATACAGAACCATGTTACAACACAACGGTGTGGGCATTCATTAAAGATTTTCCCTGACCCACTTCTATTTATCACAGGATGCCGAAACTGCACATGTGTAATGATAAAGTCTCTATAAGTTACATACCAGTCTACAACTCAGAACTGATAATGGTCTTGATTTTACAGGTGCTGAAGTGGTGTGAGGTTTGATAATGGACCCAGTGGAATACAGATCACTCATCAAGTTCCTTTACTTGAATGCCCTCACACCAAAGGGGACATTCGATGAGATGAAAGAGGTTTATAGTGATGATTCCTCATCATATGATGTAGTTAAGAACTGGCATTGTCAAATCAAATGTGGTTGGACTTTGGTGCAAACAGCTCCAATGCCAGGGTGATCCCACTCTGCTATTGATGAACACACTATCCAGCAAGTGGAGGTCGCCATTTTAGAAAATCGCTGCATAATAATTCATCACTTAGCCCAAAATGTCAAAATTAGTGTGGGGTCCATGAAAACAAAATCATCCATCTTCACATGCATAAGGTATCTGCTTGCTGGATCTCCCAGCTGCTCACATCTTTCCAGAAACAGAAAGTTGAATGTTCTTAGGGTCTATTGACTATGTGCCATGGAAACTAGGAGGACTTTTACAACAGACTAATCACACAGGATGAAAGCTGGCTCCTCCACTATGCCCTGAGACTAAAGTCCAGTCGATGCAATGAAAGCATTATGACTCACCGCCTCCAAAGAAGGCACGTGCCCAACTTTTGGCAGGCAAGGTCATGCTCACAGTATTTGGGGACGAGCACTGAATAGTATTGATAGAATTTCTAGCAAAGGGTACCATAATCACTGGGACATACTGTGCTTCACTGCTGTGGAAATTGTGAGAGGCAATCAAAACCAAGAGACATAGATAGCTCACCAAAGGTGTTGGCCATCTGCAAGACAATTCACCAGTTCACAACTCACATGTTGCCCAAATGGAAGCATGCTCCCGTGGCTTTGAAATTCTACTGCATCCCCCTTATTCACCCGACCTCATGCCATCGGACTTCCACCTCTTTCCAACAATGAAGTTATTTTTGAAGGGCAAATATTTTTCAGATGATGGGACTCTGATTTCCAAAGTCACAACATGGCTTTTGGAGCAACCTGTAGACTTCTACAAGCGAGGTATTTACAGTTGCTTAAAAAGATTGGAGAAGTATGTTTTGAACAATTTCAAGTACAATAAGAATAAAACTTGAGTTCTGAAAACTAATTCTGCTGTAGTGATTTCAGTATGATGTGGAAAATCTTTCTCCACTTGTAGGTTTTCATAGTGCCCCTAGTATAATTGCCATAATAGGATTGTCTATGAAAGCAGTAAGAGTAGATAAAAGAAACAAGAGAGATTAAGTTTACTTCAGGGCCTTTCTCCCTTACGGTTAATTATACACCTCATCTCTGTAAACATCTAAAGCAAATTCAAAGCTTTGTATATTCGGGAGTTGCGTCAACTGGTAACAACTCTTTCCCTTTATTGGGAAAAGGATATGGACTAATACTTTCTTGTTTGTCCATGAGAAAGACTAAGGTTACTCTCTGTTCTGCTGACATCCAGGAATACGCCAAGCAAAGGAGAACTGATTCAATATTAAGTCATAGATGGTCATTCTGCAAGCAAAGCAACTGGCCTACAATGCAGTGTCCTTTCTTGTGTGTCCATGGTTCTTAAAGACTTTAAAGTAACACTGTTGCCAACACAACTGAATAAAGAGTTTGCATGAATAGTACTGACACCATTCAAATTGGGTTTCAGAACTACTCATTTGCTGAATTCAACAAATCTAATGTTCATTTACCCACACCACAGCAGGAAATAAATTTGTAAGAACCATTCCACTAACATGATTTTCATGCAATCCAACACAAGCTTTTTTTTCTTTGTCTGTATTTAAGTTACATATTTCCAGGATTGTAGCCGTGTGGAAGATATGGATTCAATTCAAGTGTCTGGCCTGAGAAATTAAACATTTCTTTAGTCAAGGGGAATATAGTAATCAAAACTTTCACATGGGCCTTACTCAATACCCAGGGAACAGAGATGTGTGGAAGAAATATTCCTTTTCTGCATTTACATGAAACTTGATAGAGGTCATATAAAATTACACATGATGTGGAGAAAACATAGGAAGATCTAACTGGCCTTCCCTTTT